CATACACTAGGCTGATATTACCAAAATGTCCACTATGTGGCAGCAGAGAATAACTTCTTATAACACTCAGGTGTTATTTCTAAAATGCCCAACAGATGACAGCAGAGTATAAAATTTTATGACACACTCTCGTTATTCCCAAGATGCATACAAACTGGCAGCAGAAAATAAATTTTCATGATGAAATACCTGGGTGTTATTTTCAAAAGGCCCACCAGAGGGCAGCTTAAATAAATTTTACGATAGGCACTTACGTGTTATTTTCAAAATACCAATGAGAGGGCAGCAGAGAATACTTTTCATTACTAGCTTTCCTGTGTTTCCCAAGATGCGCATGACATAGCAGCAGTCAAAAGTCTTCATAACATTCCCTAGGGTGTTATTTTCAAAATGTACGTGAGATAGCAGCAGAAATAACAATTTATAACATGTACTATGGTGTTATTCCTAAAATGCCAAACAGATAGCAACGAGAAAAACTTTATTACATACACTCTACTATTATTCCCAAGATGCATATGAGACGGAGGCGGAAAAATATTCATGACTACCTACACTCTGGTGTTATTCCCAACATGCCCACCAGAGGACAGCAGAATAGAAGTTTTTATAATGACATACACTTGGCTGTTATTTTCAAAATGCCCACAAGATGGCAGCAGAGAATAACTTTCATGACATGTGCTCCTGTGTTTTAACCCAAGGACACACATGAAAGAGAGGCAGTAAAAAACTTTTCGTAAAAACAGGCCCTTGACTGTTATTTTCAAATGCACACCAGATAGCAGCAGAAATAAACTGAGGGATTATTCCAAACGCCCACCAGATGGCACCGTAAAATAAATTTTGAGGATGACGTACGGTAGGGTGTTGTTTTCAAAATGTCCACTAGATGGCAGCAGAGTATGACTTTTCATGACATGCACTTGTTATTCCCAAGATTCACATTGTATAGCAGCAGAGACAAATTTCATAATGACATACCCCGAGGTGTTATTTTTTTAATGCATACGAAATGTAGCAGCAGAAATAGGTTTTCATGATATACACTATGGTGTTATTCCCCAAATGCCCACGAGATGGCAGCAAGAATACATTTATTACACTCTGGTGTTATTCTCAAGATGCACACTAGATGAAGGCAGACGATGAATATTTGTGACGAACATCAGATTTTATTCCAAAAATGTCCACCAGATGGCAGCATAAAGTAACTTTTTAAATTTCATACACTCTGGTGTTATTCCCAAAATGCCCACCAGATGGCAGCAGGAAATAAATTTTAATGACATACACTTGGGTGTTATTTTCAAAATAGCCACGAGATGGCAGCAAAAAAAAATTTATTCATAACGACATACCCTGGGTGTTATTTTCAAAATGAACATAAAAAAGCGGCAGAAATAACTTTATGAACAGCACTGTCATGTTATTCCCAAATTGCCTACCAGATGGCAGCCGAGAATGAATATTCATGATGACCTACACTTGATGACCTATATTTGGTTGTGATTCCCAAAATGTACACGAGGTGGAAGCAGAGGATAAAGAATCATATTTCCTGACCAGGAAGTTCCTGTTATTTCTGACTCCACAGCACTCTGCTCAAACCTGTACCAAAGGCCTGTCTCATCTGCCATAGCTGCCTGGCTGAGAGGGCCCATATCTTTTCCACTGTCACATCCATTGGGGAAGCAAGAGGTGCAGAGGGAGAAAACTCTGCACGAGGTGCATAAAGGGTCAGGAGGTCGGCAGAGGGGGAGGCTCCATCTGCATCCTGCCCTGCCGGGCCTCGTGCACCAGCAGGGTGGGGACGGGCACTAGTGAGGTGGGTCGGCCAGTAGGAATCGCTGGGATGGTGACTGAGAGAAATTCAGTCACAGTCCCTTAGATTCTTTAAAACACTCCACATTCATACAGCTTCAAAAGATGACTCTACTCCTTCTAGAAAACACCCCCATGTGCTGTTTAAGATGCACTTTGTGTGGCCTCTGGGCTCGCTCTGAGACTCCCCGAAACCTTGAAAAAAAACACAATTCCTACTCAGAAAGTTCGCGAATTGTATGCAAAGCTATTGACCACTGAAATTATTGCTGTTAAATAAAACATCACTGTATAAATGTTTTTTTCTTTTCAAAGAACCGTAAATGTAGCACTAGATACGGATCTCACAGACTTTTACAGTCCAAAGAATAAAACATGCTCTATTCAAGTTAGGGGTTTTTAGGGTGTGGGCACGGATGGGATACAGAATGCGCCACAGAATGTCACTGTACTAGAAATGTGCGGACTCACTGTTAGTGGCGGGGCAAAGGTGCCAACCTGGATAACTCTGGGAACGAACGGAAGGCGAAATGCACTGTAGAGAGACGTGACCTCTCTGCTACAAGCCTTCCCCTCGGGGGTGGCAGTTAACGATTCCGAAACCGTGCTAGAGAGACCTGGAATGGAGGTAACGAATTAAACGCCGTCCTGAGGGTAAAGCCAGCACAGATGCCAGTTCCCTCACTGGCCGTCGGAGTGGGACATTACAGAGAAGCGAGGGGCAGGACACAGTGTCCATGTGACAGGGGATCGGGCTGAGACAAGAGGACACGCTCGTCGTCCGCCTGGGATGGACCTGGACTGTCGCGCACGGAAGTCCCGGTGACTGGGGCGTGGGCAGAGGCGGGATGCACGCAGACGTCTCGCATCGTCGGCCGAGCACAGTCACCTCCCAGATGTCGGTTTGTAATGTCATTCTCCAGGAAAAGGAACTGGGGCCCTTGGAAGACACAGCTGATTGAAGGCGAGGCTGTTGCTTTCTCGTCTCGGTGACCTCGCCAGAGGCTGTGGCACCTGAGCTCCTTGGCTGAGGCCCCTCTGCCGGGAACGGGCCTCAGAACCGCCACCGCCACCGCGAACACAGGCGCCCTTCACGTGAAGGCCCTAGTGTACTAAAGATCCACATATGCATCATATTTTACAAAAACAGCATTTATCCAGATCTCTTGGACCCTTCCACAACCAACAAAAGAAGGGGTACAGAGGGAGCTATGACGGCAGGGTCTCCCTCCAACCACTTGGGCTGCCCTGGGCAACCCCAGACCCCTGGTCAGTGCACAGCAGGTGGGGCTGATGAAAACCCCTCTGAGAACCAGCCCCAGGTGGGGAGCCTGTCCAGAGCCCTCCTCGCCATGTCACGTGAGGGCCCTGCCAGCTCCACGGACACCCGGACCCACACCCTGAGTCCCTGCTGGATGCCCAGACGGGCCCTGCCTGGGCGGCTCGGCCTCAGGAGCTGGGCCCTGGGTACCCATAGTGGCTGCGCTCAGCCTCGCCCAGCGTCAGCGTCAGAGACAGGCTGGGCTTGCGTTCCAGCTCCTCCTCCTCCAGGCAGTGCTGCGGCGGCCGGGCTTTGAAGAAGTCGGAGACGAACCGCACCTAGGAGCGGGGCCGGGAGGAGAGGAGCAGACGGTGAGGGCCTCCAGGGGGAGCGGGACCCCAGGGGACGCGGGGGGACGCGCTGGGGGCAATGAGCACAGCAGACCGGGGTGGCAGAGAGGGGGGTGCAAGCGGGGCGCGGCGCGGACGAGACCCAGGGGGGCTGAGGAAGGGGGAGGGGGCGCGGGGCGGCTCACAGTGAGGCCGGCCACCAGCGCCCCCTGCAGGAGGCCCACGAGCACGTCGCTCCAGTGGTGCTTGTGGTCGGACACGCGGGTGTAGCCCACGTAGAGGGCGAAGGCCACCAGGAAGAACTGCACCGTGGGCCTCAGCAGCCGCGCCCATTTCCAACAGAGTCGCGCCTGCACGTAGAGCTGCGGGCCAGAGGGCGGGTCAGCCAGGGCCACCCGCGCCTGAGGCCCAGGGCGCAGAGCCGGGCGGGGCCCAGCGCCCGCAGCTGTCAGGAACCAGCCAGCTGAGCCCCGCCACCGCCTCCCGCACGCACGCGCCACGGTACAGACTCAGCACCCGAGGCCCAGCCAAAGGCGGTGATGAGGCGGCCGCGGTGGCGCACGCGGCAGGTCCTGGAAAACGGACTCACCGCCAAGAATGTCATGCAGTACATCCCGAAGGAGGAGTGTCCGGAGTAGAAAGACAGTCTGAGGAGGAACGGCTGGCATCAGGAGGCGCGATGGGAGGTCGGGACGGGCAGCTCGGGCAGCGGCTCCGCCTCCCCCCTGCACCCCAACCCGCCCCTGACTTCCCCGGCCTCACACAGAAGCGTGTTTGCTGTCAGACATCATGGGAGTCCCAAAAGGACATGAGGGAGAGAAGGGGCGGATAGGCCATCTGAAGGAATAACGGCTGAAAAATCCCCCAAGTGTGGGGAAAACCATTAAACTACACACCCAAGAAACTCAATAAACTCTGAGAAGGAAAATCCCAAAGGCGTCCACCCAGGCACCCATTACAGTCACGCTGCCGACAGCCGGGGGACCTCGGGAAAGCAGAGGCGGGAAGGGGCTCTTTGGGCCAGGACCCGTGGCGACCTCACGGCCACCTTGTCATCAGAACCCGCGCCCGCCAGAAGGCACTGGACTATGTCTCCGAAGAACCGAAGCAGAAAACTTGTCAGCCAAGAAGTCTAGGTCTGGCAAAATCGTCCTCTGGGACGGAAGAAGAAATTAAGACATTTCCAGATAAAGACGCAGAGCTCGACGTGCCACAAATGTGCCGGGAAGTCAAGGGTTAGGACAGAAACCCAAATCCACACGAAGACATAAAAAAAAGGCCAGAAAAGGTCATTACGAGATATAAAGTCACTGCTCATGTCGCTTTGCTTTAGCATTCCTGATTTTTCATCTATAATTAGGAAAGGAAGCACCGTACAGAAGCCAGCAGCGTGAGCTGAGCTTTTACTGTATCTGTCACATCACGTATCTGTCTGCAAACCTCAGGACCCGTAAACACCTATTTAACCAAAACAGGAGGCTGTAACGGGGGAATTAGAAACAGCAAAACTGTTTCCTCCACGACTGCCTTCTTTTCGATTAAACGAGTGTATGTCTAAGATGGAAAAAGCAAACGCCAAAGAAACGCAAGGCCTCCCTCACCGGCGCCTCCGCGGGATGCGACTGTATCAGGCTCCACGAAAAGCCACAGACTGGAGAACGGAGTTTCGAAAAGTCTAACTTTACCATGTGCGTGAGCGACTCACTTCGGATTCGAAGACGCAAACGGTCGAAATTACGAGAATGGACGAGGCGCGCTCCGTGCGCAGAGCCACCAAGACGCGGCCAGCGCGGCCGGACCCCGCGAGGCCACAGGGACACTAAGACGAACCGGTCGGCAGACAGAATGGCCCGTCCCGCGAGACACAATGAGCATGGAGCCCCTCACGACCGAGCCCCGAATAAAGCGAAAACGGACGGAAACTACAATGTGGATGAAGTTGGAAGCAGTAAAGAAACGAGACAAGAAAGGCCGCGCAGGGTATGACTCCATTCGTACGCAAGGTCCAGAACGGGCCCGGCCAGAGACGGGAAGGGGGCCGGGGGGACGGGGAGATGGCGAAGACGTGGCCTTTCTTCCCTTTCGGGGTGACACCGCTGCCCTGGAATAAGACAGCTGCGTGCGCTGTGAATGCACTAAAAACCGATGACTCGCACACGTCAAACTGGGTAAGTTAGTGACTTATCTTATGTGGGGGCAGGTCGCCCCTGCGGGTCACCCCTCTGGACGCCGACGATTCTGCTCCAGGGCCCGGCACCCCTCCCTCCCACCTCGTCTGCAAGACCCAGGCCACAGGTGCCTCCGGGCCTACCTGGACTCGGTGACGTTGGCGGGGCTCCCCCTGCACAGCCTCTCCACCTGCACGTAGACGGAGCAGTTGACGCGGCTCCAATCAGGGTCACACACCGCCAGGAAGTTGGGCCGCAGACGGCCGATCATGTACTTGGCCAGGTCCGTCAGGGACTGGCTCACCGCGGCCCCAAACAGGAACGTCCCCAGCACCTTGTAGACCGCGGCCACGTAGTTGTTGAAGGTGGAGCGGGAATGGAGGCGATCCGTGTACACCAGATAGGCCTCCCCGGCCGAGACCTGCAAGGGAGCCGCCGAGCCGCCGGTGGGCACGGCAGCAGCCGTGGGGTCCCCCCCCAGCCACCGGCCTGGGGCCTCGGTCCTCCCCATTGAAAGCGGTTTAAGAGTTCCCAGCTTCCCCAGGCCACTGGGGGAGTGGGATCTCCAAAGGGAGCCCCCTCTTCCTAGGGCAGACCCTGACCACCCGTCCGCCCACCCCCACCCTCCAATCCTCCTGCCTTACGAGGATGATGGTGGTGGTGATGGTGACGCCGGCCATGAGCCCGTGGGTGATGGTGTCTGGCCGGTAGGGGTACCGGATGGAGTCATCGGCACAGTAGAAGCCTCGCTTGTACGGGGCGTTCACGATCGTGAGGATGGCGAAAGGCAGAGAGGCTGGGGGTGGGGCGGGAGAAGCCAGGAGCCACGTGGTTCTCTCCCCGCACCAGCCGAGCCCCCGGGACTGGCACTCGCACCCAGGCCTCGGCCTCCCTTCTGATTTCGTCACCTCTCTGCACACCAGACAGCCAGGAGCCTTGCTCATGGCAAATGGGACGCCGCTGACCCCATTAATACTCCCTCGGGGTTCCCCATCACTGTCATAGGGACAGCAAAGCCTCCCCAGGCACGTAGTCCAACCCCCACCCCACCTCCTCCCTGCTCCTCGAACAAACCCAACAAGCACCCACCCCAGGACCTTTGCACACGCCCCACTGTCTACCCCAAACATCTCTGACTCGCTTCTCTCTGGTCTCAGCTCCATCCACCCTCCCGACTGGCCCACTCATCATCACTCTGGCCCTCAGGTGTAATTATGCAATCACCACGCCTGATGTAATCCCCCTGCTCCCTCGTGAGCACCTGCGGGGACTGTCTGCTCAAGGCTGAGTCCCAGAGCCCGAGCAAGGTGTTTAAGGAGCATCTGTTAAAAGAAGAGGCCGCCCTGCTCCTCACCCTTGGGCCAGCCAGGGATCAGGGTCACTCCCTGGGGCAGAGCTGACATACCTACACTCACATGTCTGTCCCTAAGCCGGCTACACAGTGCCCAAGACATCCCTGGCCCTGAGCTCAGTCCAAAGCCACCTTCGGTAGCCACAGTCAGGACCAGACTGTGAAAAGCCTAGGTCGCCCTGGGGCTTGTGCAGAGAGGGCTCTCTGCTCTGCAGGAGGGTGTCCTTTGCCCAGGGCAGGGCAGGTGACAAGTATCAAAGGGCGTGGCTCTTTCTGGGGCCTGAATTCCAGAGGAGGACCCCACGGCCAACTCCTCCCAAAAGGCCAAATTCAGGGTCCCCAGGGGACCCAGAGAGGACCCAGAGAGGACCCTCCAGTGGCTGCATGAGCACGGCCGACGCTGAGTCTGGAGACGCAGTGAGAACAGGTCTGCCTCAGGCCCCGAGAGGGCTGGAAACAGTAGCTTTCAAAGGGGTTGTCAGCAGGCCACTCAGAGAAGGTGGCCTGAGGGAGGAGGAGAGAAGCTCCGGGGGACCTGGCGCCAGGCAGAGGGAGCTCCCCACTCCTGTCCCCGGCCCCCAAATCAGAAGCGAAGCTAGTCTTTCCTGGGCACTGGAGTCAGGGCCAACAACCTCCACGCACCCCCAGGGTTTCGTCAGTGCCCTGTCACCATCTAAAAACCGAACTGTTTATGTGTTGAATCTTCTAACAGGGGAGCAGGGTCTGCCTGGGCCAACCGCCCCCGGCACCGGCAGCAGCAACAGAACCGAATCGCGGCTCTGCCTCCCGGCGTGACCTCTGCCCAAAGGGGATTTTAAGCGCAGGTCCTTCGCAGGCTGTTCGGAGGGAAGGGTTTAATGATCCGTATGTCGCTTGGTGCCGGACGTACAGTAGCTGCCACACAAATACTTACACGAATGCCATGTGCTCAGGATTCGGAGCCCAGGGGACTGACTGCTCCTGCTTCCGCCCGCCCACCGCAAAAGGGGGCTCCGGAGGCCGGGGAAGAGAGCCTGGCCTCTGCCGTCCATCAGGACTGACCTCGCCCTCCCTCAGTCCCCTCCGTCTCCGACTGGGAGCAAGAAGCAGAATGGGGGGCAGGGGGAGTTTGGCCGAGGGGCCCCTCCCACGCCGGCGGTAGAATTCCGGGGCCATTGTCCTCGGCCCCAGAGCAAACACTCAGCCTTTGTTCCCGGGACGCCTGGGGCGGCCCCTTCCCCCAGCCTGGCCCGCAAAGCGGCCCAACAGGTTCTGCAGCCGCCGGAGGCGCGGCTCGCCCCGCAGCCTGGGGCCCGGCTTTCTCGGTTTCTCCCGGGCCCACGCGGGTTCGAATCCCGCCCGAGCGCTGTGCGTCCCGGGCCGGGGGCGTGGAGGTCGTGGG